AACCTGGCTTTGACCGTTGGCCTGCATCCAGACTCTTACTTCAATCCTGACTTGGCTTGTCTGTGGATTCTGACCCACAGCCTGTTCCCAGACCCTGATTTCAGCATTGCCCTTGGCCCAGTACCGACTCTACAGCCAGCTCCAACCACCAGACCTGACCGCCTAGAACCTAGAGCCTGACAGGATGTGGTGGATTCTCCATCACTTGAAGACTTTAAGTCAACACTGAATATCTATCTAAGAGACATCTCACAGCTCAGCTAGAAATTATGGGCTTGATGCCGAAATTAGTAGGTGAGATTCTCTGGACTGTGTCATGCCGAAGGTCAGATGAGATGATCATAATGGTCTCTTCTGGTCTTAAAAATCTGAGTCAAAAGTGTGGATGCATTTGGATCTGGTGCCAGGAATATGAATTCCCCTCCCCCTCCCAAAAGGGTTTGGATAGGAGGTTCTAGTCAAATCCCCTTTCTCTATAATCAGTGGTCTCTACTAATCACACAGAAAGGATGATACCTCTGCTGTTCGGGCCACCAGAGCGTTGTGATTTAAGATGCTGTACTTTATTGGATTAGCACGGCGCGGCAGGAGAATAGTAACATTCAAATTCAAGTCTTTGTGCTGCGGAATGTCTATCTGGTACTGCGCAAGAGCCTGGAACACCATGATGGTAGCCTAGAACACCAGAAGACAAGAGGGTTACACCATATTGTCTTATGCTCTGAACATCTGACAGCTTCTAAATTGACTTTTTAATGAAGGGGAACCAAAAGTACAATGAAAGAAAAAAAAACAGTTACTCACCTTTCGTAACTGTTGTTCTTCGAGATGTGTTGTTCATGTCCATTCCAATTGTGTGCGCACGCATGTATACATTGGCCGGAAGATTTTTCCCTTAGCAGCATCCGTTGGGTCTGCCTGGGTGCCCCTTGAAGTCGCGCCCTCATGGCACCTAATATATAACTCTGCTGACCAGCCACCCCTTCAGTTCCTTCTTGCTGGCTACTCTGACAGAGGGGCAGGAGGGTGGGTATTGGAATGGACATGAACAACACATCTCAAAGAACAACAGTTACAAAAGGTGAGTAACCGTTTTTTCTTTGAGTACTTGTTCATGTCGATTCCAATCAGGTGAATCCCAAGCCAAATCTAGGAGGTTGGGTCGGAGCTGTCCACTGATTGGAGTACTGCTCTACGAAAGGCCGCATTGTCTCTGGCCTACCTAGTAATCGCATAATGTGCAGCGAAAATGTGTATGGGTGGCCACATTGCCGCCCTGCAGATTTCCTGGGTGGGGACTTGAGCCAGGAATGCTGTTGATGAAGCTTGCGCCCTTGTAGAGTGCGCCGTTATCGGTGGCGCTGGGATCCCTGCTAGATTGTAGCACTCAGTAATGCAGGCCACAATCCATGATGAAATGCACTGGGTCGAAATCGGCTGACCCTTCATCCTGTCCCCTACTGCCACAAGAGCTGTACCGACTTCCTGAATGGTTTTGTCCTCTCGATGTAAAAGGCCAGCGCTCTGCAGACGTCTAGAGTGTGGAGCCTCTGCTCCCTATTACTCAAATAAGTTTAGGGTAGAAAACTGGGAGGAAACTGTCCAGGTTGATGTGGAACTGTGACACAACATTCTGGAGGAAGGCCGGTTTGGGCCTGAGCTGAACCTTGTCCTTATCAAATACGGTGTAGGGCAGCTCCGATGTTAGGGCCCTGAGTTCAGACACCCTCTGGGCTGAAGTTATCACCACCAGGAACGCGACCTTCTAAGAAAGGTAGAGCAGGGCGCATGTTGCTAAAGGCTTAAAGGGATGCCCCATGAGCCTAGAGAGGACCAAGTTGAGGTCCCAAGCAGGAACCGGTTGGCAGACGTGCAGGTACAACCTGTCGAGGCCCTTCAGGAAGTGGCTGACCAGAGGGTTAGCGAAAACTGAACAGCCCTGTACCCTCGGATGGAAAGCTGAGATGGCAGCCAGGTGCACTCTTATAGAAGACAAGGAGAGACCCTCCTGCTTCAAGTGGAGAAGATAATCCAAAATGTGGGGCACTGAGGCTAGTGCCGGGGGCAAGATGCACTGTGCTGACCAGATTGAAAATCTCTTCCACTTGGCCAGGTACGTGGAGTGGAGGGTTTCCTACGCCGAGAAGGACCTGTCTGACTTGTTCTGAACAGGAAAGCTTGAACAGATTCAGCCATGGAGCCTCCATGCTGTGAGATGGAGCGACTGCAGGTTCAGGTGTTGGAGACACCCGTGATCCCGAGTGAGAAGGTCCGGGAAGAGCAGCAAGGTAATCGGGGCTCCCACGGACATGTCTAGGAGAGACATGTACCAATGCTGACGGGGCCAGGCCGGTGCTAAGAGAATGACCCAAGCCCAGTCTCTGCGGATCTTGAGCAGGACCTTGTGGATGAGCGGTATAGGCAGCAAGGCGTATAGAAGAGGTCCCCCACAATGGAAGAGGAACGTGTCCGCTGTGGAACCCAAACGTGATTCTGGAAGGAGCAGAACTGCTGACACTTCCTGTTGCATCACGGGGTGACAAGATGGATCAGGGGACAGCCCCACCTCTGGAAGAGCAAACATGCGACGTCCGGGCGAAGGGACCACTCGTGGCTGTGGAACGACCTGCTGAGGTGGTCTGCCAGCTCGTTCTGGACCCCGGGAAGGTACGACGTCTGTAGATTGACTGAGTGTTCTATACAAAAGTCCCATAGCCTGACGGCTTCCTGGCACAGGGGAGAGGAGCGTGCACCCCCCTGTTTGTTGATATAGAACGTCGCAGTCATATTGTCCATCATGACCGATACACATCGACCGGTTAGATAAGGGCGGAATGACTGACACACTAGGTGCACTACTCTGAGCTCCCTGACATTGATATGAAGACCCAGATCTGTCTGCGACCAGAGGCCCTGAGTCCTGTGGTCCCCCAGATGAGCTCCCCATCCCAAATCTGACGTGTCCGTCACCAGCACTAGGGATGGCTGTGGGGCAGCGAAGGGAACTCCTGAGCACACCTGCTGAACGTCCGTCCACCACTGGAGCGAGTCGAGGATAGGGCGAGGCAGGGTCACGATCCGGTCCAAGCTGTCCCTGGCAGGTCTGTACACTGACACAAGCCACGACTGAAGCGGCCAAAGCCTGAGTCTGGCGTGTTGTACCACGTACGAACAGGCTGCCATGTGCCCGAGAAGCTTCAGGCAATTTCTCGCGGTGGTGGTGGGGAACTGCATGAGTCCCTGGATCATGGTGTTGAGGGCCTGGAATCTCACCTGCAGGAGGAATGCTCTGGCTTGGGTTGAGTCCAGTACCGCCCCATGAACTCTATCCTCTGGACTGGGGACAGAGTCGATTTGGCTTCGTTCAGTAACAGGCCCAGATTGTCGAAGGTGGCTCTGATAAATGCCACCTGAGCTTCCACCTGAGCCCTGGAGCGGCCTTTGACCAGCCAGCCCTCGAGGTACGGAAACACTTGTACCTGTTGTCTCCGCAGAAAGGTGGCGACGACTGCCATGCACTTGGTGAATACTCGAGGTGCTGATGACAGGCCGAACGGGAGGACAGTAAATTAGTAATGGGAACCATTGACCAGAAACCTGAGGAACTTTCTGGGGTTGTGCGTGATTGTTATATGAAAATATGCGTCCTTCAAGTCGAGGGCAGCATACTAGTCTGCTGGATTCAGTGAAGGGATGATGGAGGCCAGGGAGACCATGGGGACCCTGAGTTTCCTCACAAACTTATTGAGGTCACGCAGGTCCAGGATAGGCCTAAGGCCACCTTTGGCCTTCGGTATTAGGAAATAGTGGGAATAGAAACCCTCGCCCCTGTGTTCCAGTGGAACCTCCTCCACCGCCCCTTGTGCTAGGAGCAACTGCACCTCCTGAATGAGAAGTTGCTCGTGAGAAGGGTCCCTGAAGAGGAACGGGGAAGGGAAGTGGGAAGGCAGGAGGGCACAGAACTGGATGGAGTATCCCCTCTCTACCATGCGGAGCAGACCGACGTGATATGGGACCATGCACAGTGGAAAGGGGATAGTCGTGAGGAAAATGTAAGGCGGGGTAGATCCAGTCTCTGGTCTGGAACGCCGTCCTTGATCACACCCTCAAAAGGCCGGTTTAGGGCCAGAGGGCGGTTTGGGCTGGCCAGAGCCTTGATTAGCAGAGGGATGTTGCCTCCTCCTGCCACTCCGGTTCCTCCTCCGATAATTGTCCTGGCGGTTCTGCTGCTGGAACCTTTTAGGAGGTTGCGGGCGGAAGTGTCTCCACTGTGTGGCAGGGGTATGCAAGCCCAAGGATCTGAGGGTGGCTCGGGAATCTTTTAGGCTGTGGAGCCATTTGTCCGTCTTCTCTGAAAACAGTCTCACCCTCAAACGGAAGGTCCTGAATGGTTTGCTGGACCTCGTAGGGTAACCCTGAGACTTGCAGTCAGCCCCCCCCACTGCATAGCCACCCCTGTCGCCATCACTCTAGTGGCAGCATGTGCAGCATCTAAAGCTGCCTGCAAGGAGGACCAGGAGACTAATTTCCCTTCTTCCACCAAGGCGGTGAACTCCAATTGGGAATCCGAAGGGATGAGCTCCGTGAACTTCGCCATTGCTGCACAGGTGTTATAAGAGTACCTGCTCACAATGGCCTGTTTGTTAGCAATACGGCGCTGCAAACCACCAGTCGAGTAGACCTTTCTACCCATGAGGTCTAGGCATTTAGCGTCCCTGTTCTTTGGGGAAGGACCTTGGAAACCCTGTCTCTCCCACTGGTTAGCCGCCTCGACCACCAACAAGTCCGGAGGCGGATGGGAATACAGATGCTCAAAGCCTCTGGATGACATGAAATACTGCCACTCATTGCATTTGGCAGTGGGTGGCAGGGGGGCCCGGTGCCGACATTGGTACTGGGGCCGTAGGTGTCTGCATCGAGGTCGACATCAACAATGGTGCAGGCGTGGGAGACGGGTGCATCGACGCCGTGAAGGCCGGTGCCGAAGTCGGAGCTGAGCACGGTGCCGGAGTCAACAACTGGGCTGGAGGCAAAGGGCAGATGCGCCGCGGAAGGTGGTACGAAAGTGGTGAAGATGTTGCTGAGCGTGGGCCCTGGGTTCCTCCCTGGCTCTGGTGAAAAGCCCAGGGGGTCCAGAAGGGCCACTGAGGCGGGTTCTGCCACTATGGAGGCCACGCCTGATGCTCTCTTCTGTCTCTACCCAACCTCACTCTACGACTTCTGCTCCTACCCGAGCAATAGGAGTCAGACTCCGACTCCAAGGTCTCAGACACTGAAGACCACGGAGGAGCTGATCCTCGGTGCCTCGAATGTCAAGAGCTTGAGGAGCAGTAAGGCTCTCTGTTGGAGCGGGTAGGCGCCGATGGACAAGGCAAAGGGGAGCACCTCGACATCATAGCCAGCTTCCCTTTAGAGTGCACTGGAGGATGCAGTTATGTCGGTGCTGAGGGTTCCTCCCTGGCAGGCGAGAACGGTGCCGTCAGGTGGACGAAGTGCCAAGCAGCCTGGTACGCTTCTGGCGTGGACGGGAGCTGCAGCTGCTGCGTAGGCGCCGGTGATCGAGATGGGGCCGGACTCGACTGCCGCACCTGGGCAGGAGTCGACACGGCCCCAGAAGGAGATGCTGAGGAGTGGCCCGCCTGGGGTCGGACATCTCCTGCCTTAGCTGGAGGAGAACGGTCGTCCAGCTTTTTCTTCTTTTGAGGCACCGGCAAGTGGGAGCGATTCCTACTGTCAGATAGGCCCCGTGAGGAGCCATGGCGGTGCCGAATGTCCCTGGAGGAGTCCTTCCTTGGTGCCGAACTCGCTGACGGCGCTGGGGCGCTCCGCGTTGAGGATGACGCCGTAGGGGTCGGGTCTCTCGAGCCCGGGTCAGAGTGGGGGCATAGGGCTGCCTCCATGAAGATCACCTTGAGCTGCTGTTCCCTTTCTTTAAATGTTCTCTGACAGAACTCGCGGCAGATATTACAACAATCTTTCTGATGGGTATCCCCCAGGCACCGTAGACATGATGGGTGCGGGTCACTTTTCTGCATGCGCTTGATGCAGGCCACACAGTTCTTGAAACCCGGGGACCGCGGCATATCATGGTGCCGGGGCCGGAGTGGGGGGGGAACCCCAATAAACACTGTACTATACTAAACTATTAACTCAAACAACACTAAGAACTAACTATATACAATGGAATAGAGAAGAAACTTGCTGAGCAAGAGCTAAGGGAAGTTCCAGCCACCGTCACTGGCAGTAAGAAGGAACTGAAGGGGTGGCTGGTCAGCAGGGCTATATATTAGGCGCCATGAGGGTGCGACTCCAGGGGGCACCCAGGCTGACCCGATGGATGCTGCTAAGGGAAAAATATTCCGGCCAACGTGCACGCGCACACACCTGATTGGAATCGACATGAACAAGCACTCGAAGAAGAACACCAGGGTTCCACTGGGTGTCACGCAGGCAAAGGGTTATATAATAATATTACCTGGCTCCTCTGTCGTGTGTTTCATCAGTAGATCTCCAAGCACTTTACAAAGCAGTACAATATCTTTATCCACATTTTGCAGCTGGGGAAACGGAGGCACAGGGCAGGGAAGTAACTTTCCCAGGGTCACTCAGGAAGCCAGTGGCCAAGCCAGGAATAGAACCCATGGTCAATAAATAAATCGTGCATGGTCAATTAGCTTCCCACTGCCCTTAGCTATTAACAGGGGCCAATTGTCAGCTGGACACAGCGCAACAAGATAGTGGCTCCTTCTATGTATATGTAACCCACACACCTCCACAGGGTGTGGTGCTCTGTCCCCTCTAGTGGCACCGAGACCACTTAGTGAGAGAGATTAATGAGTGTGCTACAGCCTTAGCTAAGGGCCATGTGGCTTTTAGCTCATACAGGAGAGGCTCATGCATTTAGCTCCAAAGGTCCCAAGTTCGATCCCACCCACCGACGACCAGGGTCTATTGGTATTACAAGTGGGGGCTTGTCCGAGACTCAAACACAGGACCTCTTGCTAAAAGTATGAGCCTCTACTGCATAACCTAAAAGCCCTGTGTCCCTTAGCTAAGGCTGTAGCAGATACATTAATCTCTCTCTCTAAGTGGTCTCGGTGCCACTGGAGGGGACAGGCACCACACCCAGGAGGTGTGTAGGTTACATATATACAGACATCTATGCCACACACAGCACAGTGTTAGGGATAGAACACATGGCCCGTGAGTCCAAAAATATAGACCACTCCCAGCAGAGCTTGTAGCATCCATTTAGGTAGAGAAAAGACAAGACTCAGTAGCAAGGAATGTAAAGGGGTTTCTCTACTGAGGCTGCTGGACACAGACAGACCCTATAGTTCCTAGTGGCCCCCGTACTCCAGAGAAGGGAGGGATATCTGAGGACACTCCATAGTGATCTTTATTTAGCTGTCACTAGCAGTAGGGCTTTTATCCTCTCCAGTGCCTTGTATAAGAACAGTTTAAAAAAAATCCAAAAATAATAAGTTTACAGTTCTACTCAGAGATGGATTAAACCCAAATTTATTCAGATTAGTCATGATCCACCATGGCTTTGTCATATGGACTCAGACCGTTGGTCCTACACGCCTGGTACCCTGTCTCCAGACCAATGGCCAAACAACAAACAAATGCCAGAATGAATCCAGATGTGCGTGTGTTTCTGCCCATGGGAAGAGAAGGCCCATTGACTCCTCGGGACAACGCGCTGTCTTAAACTGAAGCATGTGCTCACACCCATCACCTTGGCAGGATGCAGCCTCTAGTGAGAAGATTCAGTCATGCTCCTATGCTGGTCTCCGCCTTAGGTTAACAATGGCAAAGACCTGATAGGTCACGTTGCCCATCTCCCAGGCAATGCAGGATTCATAGATTCATAGATTCTAGGACTGAAAGGAACCTCAAGAGGTCATCGAGTCCAGTCCCCTGCCCTCATGGCAGGACCAAATACTGTCTAGACCATCCCTGATAGACATTTATCTAACCTACTCTTAAATATCTCCAGAGATGGAGATTCCACAACCTCCCTGGGCAATTTATTCCAGTGTTTAACCACCCGGACAGTTAGGAACTTTTTCCTAATGTCCAACCTAAACCTCCCTTGCTAACAAGGAATTGTTCTCTTCTGGGCATTCTCCAGGGCTTTCTACAATGACTCAAGTGATCGGAATCCCATCCCTTCCGATGGGAGACCTGTCCACAAAAAACAGTCTTGGAAGGATACCCAGGATTATAAGGATCATACTCACTTGGGTAGATCCATATCCCCCGCCATAGTAGTTCTGCTCTCTCAGCCATCTGACTATGGGACCAGTCAACTCATACTTCTTCATTTTCAGCAAGGCCAGCAAGGCGTACGAGGTGCCCTCAATGTTGAAGGTGCGGGCGTTCAGCTCTTCCCAGCGATTTCCCTCTAGGCAGCATCAAAGAAGGCGAGCTAAAGGACTCTTCCCAAGGACATCCACTCATTCTGAGCAGATCTGACTGGACCATACCATCACCTGACTCCTTCCCCAACTTTCCGCATAGAGGATCGGTAAGTCAAACTGATTGTTGCCCCTTTTGGGCCGAGCAGCTATCTACTACAGAAAGAGTCTTGATTGCTCCTTTCACTGAGTCTGAAAGAGTGTCTGGCACACCCATTAACTTGAACAAGGGCCTGGTCTGCACTTAAAACTTAGGTCGTCATAGCTGTGTCACTCAGGGCATGTGAAAAATCTACACACACACACACACCCTTCCGGAGCGCTCATAGCTATGCCAAACTAACCCCTAGTGCAGACACAGCTAAGTCAATGGAAAAATGCTTCAGTTGACCTAGCTACCGTTGACCATGGGTGTGGACTCCCTACAGAGATGGAAAACCCCTTCCATGGGTGCAGTCTGCATCTACAATAGGGGGTGATACCGGCATAGCTACAGCACCGTAGTTGTGCCGCTCTAGTCCCTGCATTGTAGACACGGCCAAGGTCTGTGACCGTTTTGGGATCAAAGACCCACCTGGCACTTTTCAACATAACATTGTTATATCTAGACAACAGCTTTGTCCTGCCCTGTTTTAACTATCCCAAACAATGGGGCAAACTCCATTTTCCTGGTGAGTAATATTGTTCTATATCCTCTGAAATTCCCCTTTCCTCAGTTTCATCCAGTTACATCCTCTTGACCCACACTTTTCTCTCTCTTTCATTTCGGGTTTTACATCCTTTAAATCAGGGGTCTCAAACTCGCGGCCCGCGGGCCATCTGCATCCCGTGAACCTCCCCAATGTGGCACGCGGGACTGCAGCAGTTTTGGGGCTGGGTTTTTCCCTTGGCCCCACCTGCCGCCCCCGGGCGCTCCCCTCCCCCGGGTGATTTAAAATGGTCTGGGGGCCCAGCAGCGCAGCGGAGCTGAGCGGTGTCTGCCTACTCGCTCCATGTGTCTGCCGGCCCCGAGCACCCCTGCATCTAATGGGAAGCTGTGGGGGTGGTGCCTGGGAGCAGCAGCGTGCAGAGGCTCCCCGGCCCTCTATGCCTTGGAGCCCCAGGTAAGCACCGCACCCCCCGACCCCCTCCCAGAGCCTACACCCCCACCCCTTTCCCACCCCCCTCCAGCCCCCAAACTCTCTCCCAGAGCCTGCACCCCCTTCCCACACACCCCTCTCACCTCCAAACTCCCTCACAGAGCCTGCACTCCTCCCCACATACTCTTCCCACCCCCGAACTCCCTCACAGAGCCTGCACCCCCTTCCCACACACCCCCAGCCCCCAAACTTTCTCACAGAGCCTGCACCCCCTCCCCACATACCCCCTCCTGCTCCCAAACTCCCTCACAGAGCCTGCACCCCTCCCCACATACCCTTCCCACCCCCAAACTCCCTCAGAGCCTGAACCCTGTTCCCACACACCCCTTCCCACCCCCAAACTCCCTCACAGAGCCTGCACCCCTCCTCACATACCCCCTCCCACCCCCAAACTCCCTCACAGAGCCTGACCCCCATTCCCACACACCCCTTCTCACCCCCAAACTCCCTCACAGAGCCTTCACCCCCTCCCCACATACCACCTCCCGCTCCCAAACTCCCTCAGAGAGCCTGCACCCCTCCCCCTCCCCCTCCTCCCTCCCAGAGTCTGCAACCCCACCCCCTCCTCCTGCATCCCTACCCCTTGCCCCAGCCCAGAGCCTGCATCCAGCACCCAAACTCCATCCCAGAGCTTGCACCCCAGACCCCCTCCCCCACTCAAACTCCCTCCTGGAGCCTGCACCCCAATCCCCTACCCTAGACCTCCTCCCCCACCCAAACTCCCTCCCAGACCCTTAGGCAGGTAGGGGTGGAGTTTTGGGGGGCGGGTTCTGGGCGGCATGAGTGACATTATTGGCCCACTGGGAGGATTTGAGGACTGGCACTGGCCATAGGGTAAATTGAGTTTGAGACCCCTGCTTTAGATATACGTACAGGGCTCTCCGATTCCTCCTGAGGACAAGTAATACCATATATCTCTGCCACATCCAGAGCTCAGACACATGGGTGTAAATCTGGAGTAACTCCACTCAACCCAGGAGAGTTACTCTAGATTTACACCCAGCCCAATCAAGCTCATAGATTCATAGACTTTAAGGTCAGAAGGGACCATTATGATCTTCTAGTCTGATCTCCTGCACAACGCAGGCCACAGAATCTCACCTAGCCACGCCTGTAACAAACCCCTGACCTATATCTGAGCTATTGAAGTCCTCAACTTGTGGTGCAGAGAATCCTCCAGCAAGTGATCAGTGCCCCACGCTGCAGAGGAAGGTGAAAACCCCCCAGGGCCGCTGCCAATCTGCCCTGGAAGAAAATTCCTTCCCGACCCCAAATATGGCGATCAGCTAAACCCTGAGCTTGTGGGCAAGACTCACCAGCCAGACACCCAGGAAAGAATTCTCTGTAGTAACTCAGATCCCACCCTATCTAGTGTCCCATCACAGGCCATTGGGCATATTTACCGCTAATAGTCAAAGATCAATTAATTGCCAAAATTAGGCCATCCCATCATACCATCCCTTCCATAAACTTATCAAGCTTAGTCTTGAAGCCAGATATGTCTTTTGACCCCACTGCTCCCCTTGGAAGGCTGTTCCAGAACTTCACTCCTCTGATGGTTAGAAACCTTCATCTAATTTCAAGTCTAAACTTCCTGATGGCCAGTTTATATCCACTTGTTCTTGTGTCCACATTGGTACTGAGGTTAAATAATTCCTCTCCCTCCTTGGTATTTATCCCTCTGATGTATTTATATAGAGCAATCATATCTCCCCTCAGCCTTCTTTTGGTTGGGCTAAACAAGCCAAGCTCTTTGAGTCTCCTTTCATAAGACAGGTTTTCCATTCCTCAAATCATCCTAGTAGCCCTTCTGTGTATCTGTTCCAGTTTGAATTCATCCTTCTTAAACATGGGAGACCAGAACTGCACACAATATTCCAGATGAGGTCTCACCAGTGCCTTGTATAATGGTACTAACACCTCCTTATCTCTACTGGAAATACCTCGCCTGATGCATCCCAAGACCGCATTAGCTTTTTTCACAGCCATATCACATTGGCGGCTCATAGTCATCCTGTGATCAACCAATACTCCGAGGTCCTTCTCCTCCTCTGTTACTTCCAAGTGATGCGTCCCCAGTTTATAACAAAAATTCTTGTTATTAATCCCTAAATGCATGACCTTGCACTTTTCACTATTAAATTTCATCCTATTACTATTACTCCAGTTTACAAGGTCATTCAGATCTTCCTGTATGATATCCCTGTCCTTCTCTGTATTGGCAATACCTCCCAGCTTCATGTCATTCGCAAACTTTATTAGCACACTTTTTGTGCCAAGGTCAGTAATAAAAAGATTAAATAAGATTGGTCCCAAAACCGATCCCTGAGGAACTCCACTAGTAACCTCCTTCCAGCCTGACAGTTCACTTTTCAGTATGACCCATTGTAGTCTCCCCTTTAACCAATTCCTTATCCACCTTTCAATTTTCATATTGATCCCCATCTTTTCCAATTTAGCTAATAATTCCCCATGTGGAACTGTATCAAATGCCTTACTGAAATTGAGGTAAATTAGATCCACTGTGTTTCCTTTGTCTAAAAAATCTGTTACCTTCTCAAAGAAGGAGATCAGGTTGGTTTGGCACGATCTACCTTTTGTAAAACCATATTGTATTTTGTCCCAATTACCATTGACCATAATGTCCTTAACTACTTTCTCCTTCAAAAATTTTTCCAAGACCTTGCATACTACAGATGTCAAACCAACAGGCCTGTAGTTACCCAGATCACTTTTTTCCCCCCAATTTAGTCCCATTAAGCTGTTCGAGTTTGGCTGTGGTAATATCTATCTCCATATCCTCATTCCCATTTGTCATCCTACCATTATCCCTAAGCTCCTGATTAGCCTCATTAAAGACTGAGGCAAAGTATTTGTTTAGATATTGGGCCATGCCTAGATTATCCTTAACCTCCACTCTATCCTCAGTGTTTAGCGGTCCCACTTCTTCTTTCTTTGTTTTCTTCCTATTTATATGGCTATAGAACCTTTTACTATTGGTTTTAATTCCCTTTGCAAGGTCCAACTCTACATGGCTTTTGGCCTTTCTCACTTTATCCCTACATGTTCTGACCTCAATAAAGTAGCTTTCCTTGCTGATCCCTCTCATCTTCCACTCCATGTAGGCTTTCTGCTTTTTCTTAATCACGTCTCTGAGATACTTGCTCATCCAGCTTGGTCTACAACTCCTGCCTATGAGTTTTTTCCCCTTTCTTGGGATGCAGGCTTCTGATAGTTTCTGCTACCTTGACTTGAAGTAAATCCCGGCCTCCTCCACCTTTAGATCCACAAGTTCTTCAGTCCAATCCACTTCCCTAACTAATTTCCTTATTTTTTTTAAGTTAGCCCTTTTGAAATCAAAAACCCTAGTCACAGATCTATTTTTGTTTATCCTTCCATTTAGTTTGAACTGAATGAGCTCATGATCACTCGAACCAAGGTTGTCCCCTACAACCATTTCTTCTATGAGGTCCTCACTACTCACCAAAACCAAATCTAAAATGGCATCCCCTCTTGTTGGTTCAGCAACTACTTGGTGAAGGAATCCATCAGCTATCGCATCCAGGAAAATCTGAGCCCTATTATTACTACTAGCACTTGTCCTCCAGTCTATATCTGGGAAGTTAAAGTCTCCCATGATCACACAATTCCCATTAGTATTTACTTCATTAAAAGCATTAAAGAGGTCTCTATCCATATCCAAGTCGGATCCCGGCGGTCTGTAGCACACCCCAAGCACTATCCCAAGGGAGGCTCTAGTAGCTTTCTTCCCCAATGTGATTTTTGCCCAGACAGACTCTAAAAGCTCAAATCTGGCCAAAAGGAACAAATCTATGCCTGTGATTCATTCCTCATAAGTTACTCCCTCTCCAACCTCCTTTGCTTCTCTTCCCTGAACCCCATCCTGACTTGGCCACATCTTTTCAGTACTTGATAAGATGCCCTCATTTACCTGTCGAAGCACTCATGAGCGTCGTCTCGGTGTTCAGTGTCCCCACCATGGCTAAGGCACAGGACACAAGAGCCACAGTGTAAGGTCTGGTTAGAGACTGGTACCTTTGGGCTAAGTAGTCAGCGGCTTTGCTGATGCTGCCTTCGAAACTCTACGAGGTGACAAAGAAAACAAAAGAAAATCAAACTCGTGAGTTAGGCTGAGGTTTTGGGTGGTGTTAATGTAACACCGACAGACGCTGGTCGTCGGCAGGCAGGATCAAACCTGGGACCTGCGGAGCTAAATGCATGAACTAAAAGCCCTAAGGCTCTAGAGCAGACTCATGAATCTCTCTCTAAGTATCAGGGGGTAGCCGTGTTAGTCTGTATCTACAAAAACAACAAGGAGTCTGGTGGCACCTTAAAGACTAACAGATTTATTTGGGCATAAGCTTTCGTGGGTAAAAGCCTCACTTCTTCAGATGCATAGAGTGAAAGTTACAGATGCAGGCATTATATACTGACACATGGAGAGAAGGGAGTTACTTCGCAAGTGGAGAACCAGTGTTGACAGGGCCAATTCGATCAGTGTGGATGTAGTCCACTCCCAATAATAGATGAGGAGGTGTCAATTCCAGGAGAGGAAAAGCTGCTTCTGTAATGAGCCAGCCATTCCCAGTCCCTATTCAAGCCCAGATTAATGGTGTTAAATTTGCAAATGAATTTTAGTTCTGCTGTTTCTCTTTGAAGTCTGTTTCTGAAGTTTTTTTGTTCAATGATAGTGACTTTTAAATCTGTAATAGAATGACCAGGGAGACTGAAGTGTTCACTTACTGGCTTTTGTATGGTACCATTCCTGATGTCCGATTTGTGTCCATTTATTCTTTTGTGGAGGGACTGTCCGGTTTGGCCAATGTACATGGTAGAGGGGCATTGCAGGCACATGATGGCATATATAACATTAGTAGATGTGCAGGTGAATGAGCCCTTGATGGTGTGGCTGATGTGGTTGGATCTTCTGATGGTGTCACCAGAGTAGATATGGGGACACAGTAGGCAATGAGGTTTGTACAGGGATTGGTTCCTGGGTTGGTGTTTCTGTGGTGTGGTGTGTAGTTGCTGGTGAGTATTTGCTTCAGGTTGGGGGGTTGTCTGTAAGCGAGGACTGGCCTGCCTCCCAAGGTCTGTGAGAGTGAGGGATCATTTTCCAGGATAGGTTGTAGATCGTGGATAATGCACTGGAGAGGTTTTAGCTGGGGGCTGTATGTGATGGCCAGTGGTGTTCTGTTATTGTCCTTGTTGGGCCTGTCCTGTAGTAGGTGATTTCTGGGTACCCATCTTGCTCTGTCAATCTGTTTCCTCACTTCCCCAGGTGGGTATTGTAGTTTTAAGAATGCTTGATAAAGATCTTGTAGGTGTTTGTCTCTGTCTGAGGGGTTGGAGCAAATTCGGTTGGATCTTAGGGCTTGGCTGTAGACAATGGATTGTGTGATGTGCCTTGGATGGAAGCTGGAGGCATGTAGGTACGTATAGCGGTCAGTAGGTTTCCGGTATAGGGTGGTGTTTATGTGACCATCACTTATTTGCACTGTAGTGTCCAGGAAGTGGATCTCTTGTGTGGACTGGTCCAGGCTGAGGTTGATGGTGGGGTGGAAATTGTTGAAGTCCAGATGGAATTCTTCAAGGGCCTCCTTTCCGTGGGTCCATATGATGAAGATGTCATCAATATAGCGCAAGTAGAGGAGGGGCACTAGGGGATGAGAGCTGAGGAAGCGTTTTTCTAAGTCAGCCATAAAAATGTTGGCATACTGTGGGGCCATGCGGGTACCCATAGCAGTGCCACTGACTTGAAGGTATAAGTTGTCCCCAAATCTGAAGTGGTTGTGGGTGAGGACAAAGTCACAAAGCTCAGCCACCAGGCGTGCTGTGGCCTCATCAGGGATACTGTTCCTGACAGCTTGTAGTCCATCCTCATGTGGAATATTGGTGTAAAGTGCTTCTACATCCATGGTGGCCAGGATGGTGTTTTCAGGAAGAACACCAATGCATTGTAGTTTCCTCAGGAAGTCGGTGGTGTCTCGAAGGTAGCTGTGAGTGCTGGTAGTGTAGGGTCTGAGGAGAGAGTCCAAACAGCCAGATAATCCTGCTGTAAGAGTGCCAATGCCTGAGATGATGGGGCGTCCAGGGTTTCCGGGTTTATGGATCTTGGGTAGCAGATAGAATACCCCTGGTCGGAGTTCTGGGGTTGTGTCCATGTAGATTTGTTCCCGTACTGTAGCCGGGAATTTCTTGAGCAGATGGTATAGTTTCTTTTGGTATTCCTCAGTGGGATCAGAGGATAGTGGCCTGTACAATGTAGTCTTGGAGAGTTGCCTGGAAGCCTCCTGTTCATAATCTGACCTGTTCATTATGACTACAGCACCTCCTTTGTCAGCCCCTTTGATGATAATGTCAGAGTTGTTTTAGAGGCTGTGGATGGCATTGCATTCTGTATGGCTGAGGTTATGGGACAAGTGATGTTGTTTGTCCACAATTTCAGCCTGTGCACGTCTGCGGAAGCACTCTATGCAGAGGTCCAGTCTGTCATTTCGACCGTTTCGACTCTCTAAGTGGTCTCAGTGCTACTAGATGGGACAGAACACCACACCAGGAGGTGTGTGGGTTACATTAAGACATTATGAATTCATGTGGCTTCCAGCTTTATTTAATTTCACAGTGAATTTTGTGCTGGTGAAAGATGGAGGAGGTAGGAAGGCATGGAAGTGAGATATTTGAAGGCGGCGAAAGGGGACATTCCTGGAGAGGCTGAGGGAACTGGGATTGTTTAGTCTGCAGAAGAGAAGAATGAGGGGGGATTTGATAGCTGTTTTCAACTACCTGAAAGGGGGTTCCAAAGAGGATGGATTTAGACTGTTCTCGGTGGTACTAGATGACAGAACAAGGAGTAATGGTCTCAAGTTGCAGTGGGGGAGGTTTAGGTTGGATATTCGGAAAAACTTTTTCACTAGGAGGGTGGTGAAGCACTGGAATGGGTTACCTAGGGAGGTGGTGGAATCTCCTTCCTTAGAGGTTTTTAAAGTCAGGCTTGACAGAGCCCTGGCTGGGATGATTTAGTTGGGAATTGGTCCTGCTTTGAGCAGAGGGTTGGACTAGATGACCTCCTGAGGTCCCTTCCAACCCTGATATTCTATGAGTCTATGAGTCACATGCAGAATGTCATCAGGAGTGAGACCAAAGTCTCTGGCAGGGCCGTCCCTAGCCCAAATGGCGCCCCAGAGTTTCTTTGGCATCCCCCTCTCTGTTTGTTAAATTTTTGAATACCTTATTTTCTATTGCATTTGTAGCCCATTTCACCACTTTGATGCACGATTCGCATGCATGATTTATCCCTGTCGTATAAGATGATACATTTGCAGGCTAGGAGCTGTAAATCTGTATGTATTCATGCCATATATAAGCAAATAAAAAAAAACATTTGTTTCCTCTAAGCTTATAGAAACAAAGCTTATAGGTCCAGAACATTCTAGTAGGTTAGTGAAAAATGAATCCACATACGGAATGCCGGAAACGTTTTACTTCAAACATTCGATTTTCCCTTTTGTCTCTAACAACAAAAACAGCACCCTGAGCCCATCGCCCCAGCCCCAACCCCCAGCCCAGCACCCAAGGCAGTTGCCTGGATTGCCTGCCCCTAAATCTGGCCCTGGTCTGTGGTATCAGACAGAAGCTGCAAGAGAGGCGGATGAGATGATGTGGTCGGCATGTACAAAGAGGGGATGAAGAGAATCATAGGTGCCGACTCTGTGGGTGCTCTGGGACTCAAGCACCCATGGAAAAAAATAGGGGGTGCTCAGCACCCACCAGGCACAGTGGTTCTGCCCCGGCTAGCCGCCGATCAGCTGTTTAGCATGTCCCTGAAGCTGGCCACTGATCAGCAAGCGGCTGGCGGGAAGCTCTCGGGGGAGGGGACGGAGAAGAGGGAGCGGCGGGCTGGCAGGGATGGGGAGGAGCAGGGTCAGGAAGAGGTGGAGCAAGGGCGGGGAAGGGGTGAAGTGGGGATGGGGCCTCAGGGCAGAGCGGGGATGGAGCACTCACCGGGAAAAACAAAAGTCAGCGCTTGTGAAGGGAATCCTGTTAGGGAGGCATTTGAGAGTAACGTTTACTAGTGGAAAACAAGAGGATGGCCAAAAAAATAGTGGACAGAAAGTGTACTGGAGGACAAAGCGCATATGGAGCAAATGTAGGACTGGCAAGCCTGAAGAAGAAAGATGGAGGCAATTCTGGAGGAGGATGTCTTCTGTTTAGCCCCACGAACGGTAGGGGCCAAGCAAGCCTCCGCGCGATGAGAGGGTAGTGTCGTCCCCCTGTCCCGGTTTTACCGGGTCCTAGGATCTAATAATACCAAGCTCTTATATAACACTTCTCCTCAGCAGATCTCCAAGCGCTTTATAAAGGAGGTCAGTCTTGTTAGCCCCATATTACAGAAAGAGAAACTGAGGTAAAGAGCAAGAAAATTATTTGCCTGAGGTCCCCCAGCAGGTGTGGGATGAGAACACAAGTCTTCTGAAACCTAGTCCAGTGCGCTAGCCACTAGGCCACTCTGTCTTCACCCTTTGGCTGATTGCCTCTCTCCTCATGCTGTATTGCTACAGCTGCAATCAGCGGGCTTCTCTTCACTATAAAAGAGAGGGGGCAGCTGCCAGGCTGTTCTCTACAAGGGCTCCAAGACTCTGTAAGTTGTTCCCCAGCTTGGCCTGAAATAGTTCAAATGTGGTGACCTGAGCGTGCTGCAAAAGACACCTCTTTGATAGTGTCCTTGGAGAGGGCTGAGGGTTTGCTTCTCCTAAAGATGAAGGGGTAGAAAGGAGGTTCGGTTGCTGTCTGGCCAGTTGAGGTCCTACTGAAATGATCACTTTAACCCTGGGGGATGTAACTGTGTGGTTAATGACATGGCAGGGTGCTAGAGCAGGGGTGGGCAAACTTTTTGGCCTGAGGGCCACATCTGGGTATGGGAAATTGTATGGTGGGCCACGAATGCTCACTAAATTGGGGGTTGGGGTGTGGGATGGGGTGAGGGCTCCAGCTGGGGGTTTGGGCTCTGGGGTGGGCCCAGAAATGAGATGTTCAGGGTACAGGAGGCTCTGGGCTGGGGCAGGGGGTTGGGGTACGGGGGGAGGTGGGTTGAGGGCTCTGGGGTGGGGCTGGGGATGAGAGGTTTGCGGTGTAGGAAGATGCTCTGGGCTGGGACCGAGGGGTTCGGAGGGCATGAGGGGGGTTAGGGCTGGGGCAGGGGGCTGGGTTCCGGGAGGGGGGCAGGGATGCAGGCTCTGAGTAGCGCTAACCTCAAGCAGCTCCTAGAAGCAGTGGCATGTCCCCGCTCCAGCTCCTAGGCGGCGGCACGGCCAGGCGGCTCAGGTGCGGCTCCCGTAAGCAGCAGCATGTCCCCACTCCGGCTCCTACGTGGAGACGCAGTGCCAGCCAGGAGAGAGCTGCAGGGGCGACGCCTGTGGACAGGGCAGCGTGCGGAGCTTCTGGCTGCCCCTACATGCAGGAACAAGAGTGGGGACTTGTCACTGCTTCCGGGAGCCGTGCGGAGCAGACCCTGACCCTGCTCCCTGGCAGGAGCTCGAGGGCCAGATTAAAATGTCTGATGGGCCGGATGCGGCCCGCAGGACGTAGTTTGCCCACACTGTGCTAGAGCATTGCACATGCATCTTTTAAAAATTATTTAAAACCTAAATAAGTAAATCAATGTCCCGTAACTGATCCCCTGACCCGTCCAGTTCCGCTTAATATTCCTGCATGCTTAGATTGCAAACTTTCTGGAGCAGAGACTGTCTTCTGGTTCTGTGTTTGTACAGTACCTGGCACAACGGGATCTCTGGTCATGGACTGCGGCTCCAAGGGGCTACCTCAATATAATAACAGGAAACTTAAACCCGCCCAGCTTGTAATCCTGAAAGCCTTGTATTCTGATAGTCTCTCCTTTTGTACATGGAGAAGCCAATAAACCATAGCATAAAGCCAAACCCAAATAAGGACTCATTGCTTCTTTCCAATGTATGAAGATGGTCTCTACATTATTTTAATTTGTTTTCCTCTGCTTGGTTTTTTATATGATAAATATCCAAGACCAGCTTCTCTCAGGCCTGGTCTACACTACGACTTTAATTCGGATTTAGCTGCGTTAATCCGAATTAACCCTTCACCCGTCCACACTACAGAGCCAGTTAATTCGAATTAAAGGGCACTTAAAATCGATTTCTGTACTCCACCTCGACGAGCGGAGTAGCGCCTAAATCGATTTTGTTAATTCGAATTAGGGTTAGTGTGGCCGCACACCACCGAATTACTGTGGTTAAAGTAATGGGGTAGTGTGGCCGCACACCACCGAATTAATGTGGTTAAAAACCGAATTAATGTGCTTAGTGTGGCCGCGCACAATCGAATTTATACAACTTGTTTCCCAAATTCGAATTATCTAAATTCGGATTAATCCTGTAGTGTAGACATACCCTCATTTTCCTGGCAGACTCTTGCAAGATCGTTGGAGGACTCCGAAAGCTGCGTCCCAGACATTCAAGACCTGAGTTCCTCAACGGGTGTGCGAGGAGAGAAGACTATCTGGCAACGCCACTAACTCCTTCCCCAGTAAATTCCACATGCCACTGTTCATAGGGGATGGAAAGATGGGCAAACCTGGGTATGAACTTAGAAGTGAATCTACGGTGCAGAGATACTCACGTTGACTTGATCCTTGCAGATGTCCTTGGCCTCCTCCAAGGCAATCAGCACAAAAGCCGTTAAAGAGACATCAGGCTCAGCACCCTTGTACCCTCCCTAAAGGGGAGCAAAGGACATATTTGGGATAAGAAAGTCCCCCGAGTACCATGAAAAGAAAGAATTAATCCCAGGCCCTCAGCATTGGAAATTATAACAGAACACATGCTTCCTAGAAAGGTACCCAAGAATGGACTCTCAGTCATGGTTAGACCTATCGCTGAACCTCCTTTTGGCTAATGAACACCTGTCGTGCAATGGGCCACGTTCTGATGTCAGTTACTCCTTTGTCAGTGTGGAGGAACTCCATCCAAGTCAATAGAGATGCTTCGTATTAAACCAGCGTGAGAGAATTTAGCTCACCAGGCCGGTGCTCAGGTCCTGTCACTAGCTCCCAGGCAGCTTCCTGTGCAGTTAATGGATCGAGCCCCAGCGATATCAAAGACCAAACTTTGGCCTGTGAAGCACCAAGACAGCTGCGCTCTTCTGGGGCAATGCAAATCACTAAGCCCAGGATGAAGCACATGAGAGGTGAGGACAAGGCATTCTCAGATGAGGGCATCTGGCTGGGGAACCAATGCCCATGGGAGATCAAGCCAGGCCAGAGCCTAAGTGTCTTTAGTAAACGCTGCAAAACTATCCCCTTTGGAGACGTCTCTCCACCACCAGAACAACACTCACAGCACTAACCCCACCCCCTTCTATCTAATAAACCCTGACACAGACACCCCCTTCTACCCTAAACCCTAACACTGAGACCCCTTAAACCTAGATACTGACAGCCCTAAACCCCAACACCCCTAAACCCCAAGGGTGCTGGAACAATTTTTATAGTGGGGGTGCTGAGAGCCATTGAACCAAACTGTAACCCTGTATATCGGGGTGGCCAACCTGAGCCTGAGAAGGAGCCAGAATTTACCAATATACATTGCCAAAGAGCCATAGTATTATGTAATGATTATATACGTATATGTATATGTGTGTGTGTGTGTATATATATATATATATATATATATATACACACACACACACAATCATTATATAATTTGATAATGTATATTTATTATGCATTTATAATATATAGTTAACGATAATAACAATAACTTGTCTTAATGTTTTACTTAGTGGGACTTCTGGCAATCTTTGCTTTCAACAATTCCCTTGAAGTCTGGTTTGTGTTCAGTTGTGTTCACATGCAGCAGTTCTCTTAAGTGGCTGTCTGTCAAAATGGATTGGTGCTTGGTTTTCACATGTTTGAGTGTTGAGAAAAGAGACTCACAAAGATAGGTCGAGGCAAACATTGAGATTAATTTTAGGGCTGCACCTCTGATGTTGGAGTATTTATCCTTTGGTACAGATTTCCAGAAAGTAAGGGTCCCCTCTGTCTTCTGAACAGATTTCAATCTGTCATCTTCTAAAAGTTCTATTATTTCCATCTGGGATGTTGCTTCGTCAGTAACTTCAACACTAAAAGGGTCAAGCAGAAAACTGATTTGAGGTCTTTTCTGCTGCAAATCTTGAAATCTTTCCTCAAAACTGTCCTTAAGATCTTTAATCATGCTCACATATCTAGTTGTGCTCCATTTTAGGGGTTCTGCTGCATCTTCTTTTGATATGTCTGGAAGTTGTGACATTGAGGGAAAGTGTGTCAGCTCTCCCTCAAGCATTTGTCTGTGAAACAACTGCAGTTTGTTCATGAACGCAAATACACTTTGCACTAGATGAGACAGCAACCGGAATTTTCCTTCTAAGTCCATGTTTAGTTTATCCAAATGCAGCAGCATGTCTGCAAGAAATGCCAAGTCTAGAACCCACCCAGGAGCTGCAAGCTCAGGGTGTATTCTTTGATTCTCCTCCATAAACAATTTTACTGGTTCCAGGAGCTCGAAAAAACGGGAAATAACTTTACCTCTTGAGAGCCATCGAACTGCGCAGTGAAATGGCAAATCAGCAGGGAAATTGTCTTCATCCAGTTCTTCGATTAGATTTTGAAATTGTCTGTGATTGAATGCATTTGAGCAAATGAAATTCACAATGTGCAAGATTGGTTTCATGACGTGATGAAATTTGAGATTTTTAGATACCAGTTGCTCCCAATGAATAATACAGTGAAATATCCAAAATTCGGGAAAGCTCTCGTCAGACTTACAAAGCCCTACTAATCCATTCACAGATCCCCACATGGATGGAGACCCATCTGTTGCAATGGCAGTGAGCTTCTGTAAAGAGAAGTGGTGTTTCACAGCTAACAACATCAATGACTCCTTTAGATCTCGTCCACGAGTTCTGTCCTTTAGTGGGACGATATCCAGGAGGAGTTCTTCCCTTACAACACAGTCATCAGACACAGTGCGGACAAATACCGATAATTGAGGTTTATCCTGTACATCGCACAACTCATCCAAAGCGATGCTCAAAAACTCACACTGCTGAAGTTGCAAGTGCAGTTGCGATTCGATGTCACTGTTCAGGTCGGAGATTCTGTGTTCTATTGTGTGGCATGAAAGCTGCAGGCTAGAAATTTTCTTCGGTAGATTCTCGTTCTCTGGTGACAGGATTGAAATCACATCAGTGAGGCACATTTTTATAAACTCGCCTTCAGAGTAGGGCTTTTTTGCGCGGGCTACGTGCCAGGCCACATAATAGGAGGCTAACGTTACAGTCTGCGATCAGTTGGCAAATCCAGTGAAGAACTGGGCTTCTACATCTGTTTGTTTTTTCAAAACGTTCAGTTTTCAGAACCTTGTGGGAATTCTTGATCCATATGTACATGGCTAGAAGCGAAATGACGCTGCAAGTTTGAAGATTTGAACTGAGAGAGACACGTCTGGCAAAGAAGACACATGGCCTTACCATTACGTTCAACGAAAAAGTACTTATGCTCCCACTCCTGCTGGAAGCCTTGATTTTCATCTGTGTATTTTCTTTTCCGTTTGCACTTGCCTTCCATTGTTAGATCGTGTAAGAAAAATGTTGATTAAATATTTCCACAGCAGCTAGTAGTCGCTGTGTACTTTATTGAAGGAGACCAGGCTCCAGCCAGGGGTTGCTGGACACCTGGCTCTGCCCCAGGCCCCGCCTCCCATTCCACCCTTTTCACCAAGTCCCCACCCCCACCCTGCCCCTTCCTGCTCCTGCCCCACCCCCGCCTCTTCCTGCCCCATTCCACCTCCTCCCCCAGTGAGCCGTGTCCTTGCTCCTCCCCCTCTCCCTCCCAGAGCCTCCTGGTGCAAAACAGGGGCAGCAGGCCAGGGGACAGAGGAGGAGGAGGGGGGGAGGCTGCGCACCGGGTCCTCGCTCCTCCCTCCCCCAGCATCTCCTGTTGCGATCAGCTGTTTCTCGACATTGAGGCGGCTCAGGGAGGGAGAAGGAAGAGCGAGGACGCAGCACCCAGCTCCCGTCCCTCCCCCCCGAGCCGCCTCAACACCGCGAAACAGCTGATCACGGCAGGAGGGGATGAGGGAGGGAGGGGGGCTGGGTGCTTCTCGCTCCTCCCCCTCCCTCCCAGAGCCGCAATGCTGCGAAACTGCTGATTGCAGCGGCGGGCGGGCAGGAGGGGCAGGCGCTGATGAGGAGGCGCTGGCAGGCGGGAGGGGTGGGGGACTAATAGGGCTGCTGGTGGGTGCTGAGCACCCACCATTTTTTTCCCAGAGTTGGCTCCTGGCAGGAGCTGCATATTTTCTTTTGAAGAGCCGCATGCGGTTCCAGAGCTGCCGGTTGGCCACCGCTGCTGTATATAATGGAAACCACTTCAAGCCAGGGGTTGTTGCAGCACCCCCATGCACCCCTAGTTCCAGCACCTCTGCTAAACCCTGATACCCCCTTAAACCCCTAAACCCAAATACTGAGACCCCTAAACCCACCACTAACACCCCTAAAACCTAGCACCGAGGCCCCCTAAATCCTGATACTGACAACCCCTTCTACACCTTAAACCCTGACACTGAAACCCCCAAACCTTGACTCTGACAACCCCTTCTACCCTAAACCCTAACACTGACACCCCAAAAGCCTGACACTGACACCCCCAAAAGCCTGATACTGACACCCCCTTTTACCTAATAAGCCCTAACACTGACACACCCTAAATCCTGGCACCCATAAATCCCAACCCTGACACCCCTAGCTCCAACAATGACCCCCCCTTCCACTCCTAAACCCCGAACAACAACAAAACCAAAAATGATCTACCCCCAACAGGGGAGAAGTGTTAAGACTCCATGAAGTCCACTAAGGACTACATAGATACAATCTGGCCCACTGGGCCTGAATCTCCATTCACTGCTGCCCATGTAACTGCACTGGATTGTTCCACTGATGCGAGAGAGAGAGAGAGGAGATCAGTCAGCGTGAGCACAGACTTTGGGACATAGCCCAGTAAGACGTCCCTTTGAATTATGAACCAACAAGTTGCTGTGATGATTGAGGTGGGTAGTGATTGATGTGTAAAAGTCAAAGGAAACACGTACAATCATCTCTCCGTGGATTACGAGGGCATCTTCTTGGAAGACCCCATCCAGTTTCTGTTTTTCCAGGATCAGCCATTTCACCGCCCCGCAGATAACTTGGTTTTCAATGGGCACCAGTTTCTTAGCCATGGCAAAGACCTTCACCACGTACGCCGTCAGCCTGAGGGCAGAATCAATCACATCACGGTCACTCCTGCCTTCCTGGAATTGCCTTCAGTGTGAAAGCTGGACCGTCTGCACTCAGGTATGAGTTAAGACGATTCACAGCAATAAATGGAGTGAGGTTCATGTGAGTCAGTTTATGGTAACCTGAGTGAGCATGGAGCTAGGGAAAATGTCACCGCTTGTCCGGAAAAGCGCATCCAGACACTGCTCCTTATTACGGCCAGCTCTACTTGAGATGTACCGAGCTCACGCCGCCTGCAGTGGTATGACCAGGATGGTGGGGTTGGGGGCCCGCTGTGGACAGCTGGCCACTGGGAACTGGACTGGAGAGTCATCAAACTCAACTTCACACAAGCCAGTGAACAGCCGTCAAGATGTAACGGTTAGTCTGAGCCAGCTACAAACTAGCCACCTAAAAGTGAAAGGACCTGGAGTTCATTACTAAGGCTGCGAATCTGTCATGGAGGTCGTGGAAGTCACAGATTCCGTGACTTTCCGTGACTTCCACAGATGCAGCGGCTGGTGTGGCTGGCCCAGGGGACCGCCCAAGCATCAGTCCCGGGGGCGTCTGGGGACCCCCTGAGCAGCAGCAGTCCCAGGGGCCACCCTGGGGGTTGTCTGAGCAGCGGCTGGAGCAGCAGCCGGGGGCAGCCCCAGAGGCCTTCGGAGAGCAGTCCCCAGGGGCCTCGGAACAGCGGGCGGCCGGATGCAGTCAGCCCCCACCGCCGGAGCAGGAGCCAGCTGTCAGCCCCCAGGGACCCCCAGAGCAGCGGCACTCCGGGGACCCCCAGAGCAGCAGCACCCCGGGGACCCCCAGATCAGTGGCGCCCTAGGAGCAGCTAAGAATTAGTCAGGGGTGTGACACCCTGACGGGGTATTTTTAGTAAAAGTCATGGACAGGCCATTGGCTGTGAATTTTTGTTTATTGCCCGTGGCCTGTCCATGACTTTTACTAAAAATACCCATGACTAAATCTTCGCTTTATTCATTCCCAATTCCTCAAGTCCTCCGCTTGCCCACACTGAACTGTCACTGAAATCACTGGAGGCCACATTTACAAGGTATTTAGGCACCTAAAGATGCAAATAGGCACCTAACGGGATTTACCAAAGTGCCTAAGTGAGTTAGACACCCAAATCCCATTGACTTTCAAAGGGAATTAAGCCCCTACTGTGCTTAGGTGATTTTGTAAAACCTGCCAGGTGCCTCTCATATCTTTGGGCGTCTTTCCATTGCCGTCTGTGGGAGTTGGATTGGGTATTTTTTTCCCATTGTGTGTGTTGACCTTTGCCCTCTGGTTTTGGGCTGGAGACTGACTTGCTCTGGCTCACATATTGCATGTGTAGGGTCAGGCTAACGCTGATCAAGAGGGTGCATTAGAAAACCCACTGTCCTCACCAAGTGCTTGCTGGCCGGTCTTTGAAAGCAGCGTATGAGAAGTCGGGTTTTTTGTAAACCATCTGCTGCGTGTAACCTGAAACAGGGAGAGTAAGAAGGAGCTGTGCGATGTCTGGCGAGTGTCTAATGAGGACTTTACATGCGTAAGGCAAACAAAGTCAGAGCTGTGACCCCTGCCGCGGCTGTCTGAGTTGTGTGGCTCTCCCTTTTTCTGCAGGCGTCTCTCAGGAGGGACACAGCACAGCAACTCAAGGGAAGCAAAGGCAGAAACCTGTCTGGTGGGGAAGCTGATTGGCATGGACACTGCCCCATTCCTCACCAGCATGAATCCTCCCTTCGGGGTGGGAGTGGAGTCAAGTGATTACAGTGTATGGGAACCTGGGAGGAGGGATGCCTGGGTTCTATGCCAGGCTCGGGGAGGGGAGGGGACGGTGAGTTAGTGTTTGGAGCAAGGTGCTGTGAGTCAGGACTCCTGGGTTCAGTTCTCAGTTCTGTCACTCATTGCATAATGTGCTGTTGGGTAAGTCACTGCCTGCCTCAGTTTCCCCATATTGTAAAAGCTTAAGGGATGGGATGTTTGTAGTTCAGACTCCGCACCTAATGTAGGCGGCCCACAAAGGGGCCCGGGGTGTAGGGAAAGGGACACCTGTTCCTTCAGGAGCTAGGCTGAAACCTACCAAGTTCTCTCAATCATCATGAGATTCTCTATCCTTCCTCGCTACCTGACATAGATTTAAACTGTGGGTAAATGGTGTCCACCCCACTACCATCCCATCTCCCGGAATGAACAGGAGCCCAAAAGCCTACCAGGACTGAAAACGGGGTTGGACATTTGTCTACATAGGAAGATCTATTCAGAGTTATAATGACTAATACCAACATACATTGTGGGAGGGATATTAAACCTCATGCTTCAGGTCTTAAACCAACCTCTAAAGGGAGTAAGAGACCTAAAGTGGGAGGCAGATTCTCTCTCTATTTTAGGGGCTTGTCTGGCCCCCATTCCCATAGTACCAGGGTGCCTCACAAACTTCAATGTAACTACCAGGGGCGCCGAACAGCGGGGGCCAGAGGGACATGGCCCCTCCCACTTTTTTCCTGCCTTATGGGTGAGTGACGGGGGAGGAGAGGGCGGAGAGGAGTGAGCGGCAGAATGGGGGTGGGAAGAGGTGGAGCAAGGGCAAGGCCTCAAGGGGTAGAAGCCTAGTGGGGCAGGGCCTCCGGGTGGCACGTGGGTGGGCCCACAGGGGGAGGATCAGAGCAGGGGCGGGGCTTCGTGGGGAAGGGCAGAGTGGGAGCAGGGCCACGCTCCAGGTGCCGGTGGGAGCTTGCGGAGCTCCTGCCGTCTACCCTCACAACCCCCCTGTGCAGCAGGGCACTGCAACTTTCCCCGTTTGCAGGGGGGAAATGGAGTCACAGAGAAATTAAGTGACTTGCCCAACATCACACCAGGAGTCTGTGGCAGAGCAGGGAACTGAACTGGTGTCTCCTGAGTGCCAGGCTACCTGCCTGATCCCTGGACTCTCTATTGCCCAATGTGCTTAAAGGGAGGTTTCTGAAGCATTTGGTACCAGCCACTCTCCGAGACAGGCTACTGGGCTAGATGGACCTCGGGGCCAGTCCTGTGTCCCTAACGCGAGCCTGAAGAGAGATTTGCAGTCTGGCATGAGAAGTACTTACCTTGCATGATCAACTTGATGGCTTCCGCCCTGCGTTCCACCCCAATCCTTTCCCACTGCTCGGTGCTGTCCAGGTAGATGGTGGCGATGACGGGGGGGGTCATGCCGATCATGTTCTCTTCCCCGGAGCCAGACGGCGTCACAATGAGGTGCTTCAGGTTGGCCCCGTCGATGGAGTTTTCGACAATGATTGTCACAGGGTTTCCTGGCCAAGGAAATAACACGGCGTGAATTCGAGCACAGAGAGCAGGAGCTGCTGGGGACAGAGAGACAGACAGACCTCTCTGCGAGCAGTGGCAGATTGAGAGCTCAGTCCGGCATGGTGCTGAGCACACCCAAACCCCATGAAGGTTGGATTCTAACCCAGCAACAATTGTTCCGGTCCCTGTGTGCTGACAAGGTCCCCGCAATGCTCTGAGCATTTCTCACCAAGCCCTCCTAGGCTACTTCACTCCAGCCCTGCCAGCAGTGGAGATAGAACCTGGATACTTCAACTGTGAAAGCACCAGCCCTTGCTGGTCGAGCTAAATGGGGACAAAGGAAGGACTATTATCCATATTTTACAGATGGGGAGCTGAAGCACAGACAGGTTAAGGGAGCTGCCCGAAGTCACCAGGAACATCTGTGGAAGAACAAGGTTTTGAACTCAGGCTTCCCAAATACTAAGCAAGGGCTCAGACCACTAGGCCATCCTGTCCAGAGACATAGGCTGCCCCCTGGGTGCTCCTTATTTCTGTGCACATGTCTCTCCCGAGAGCACCTTGCTTACATGCCGACATGCCGACAACGACTTTGCTGTATCTTGGTCATTAATGCTCGATAGTGCACGTAGACAGTTGTAACAGAACCAAGTGGGTAATCAGTCCACCTCCTGCGAGTGTGGCTACCAGGGAAGAATTCATTGCTCCCTTCACTGTTTCTAAAGCATAAAACACTTTCAAATCAGAGGCCCTTGCCTTGTATTCTGACTTTGGTCTCCGATTCTGTGTTTGGAACCATGTCATCTATATCTGCCGCTTTCACCTTCACTTCCTGGACTCCCCCTGAAAAGGAAGGACAGACACTGAAATGCCATCCGTCCAGACAGCTGAGCTTTGCTGCAGGTCCTTGAATAATACTCTACAACGCTCATAGAGAGCCCTGCACAATCCACTGACATGCTAGGGCAAAGGGAGGGAGGGGGCAGCTGAGATAGGAATCAGGAAGCTATGAATACGGGGCAGGCAGAGGTGGCTGCATTTCAGTGGCAGCTGAATTGCTCTGCATATTGCTGATTCTAGTCTTTGGCGATGAGCCTGGTTTTGACCTCCATCTCAGCCAACACGAAACCAATCCCTCTGAAATCTCCCACGCACGATCAGATGCCAGGGTAGAATTTTTCAGGGAAGTTTTCTGCAGATTCGATTAAGGGTTTGGGTTAGATACAAGGGCTCCAAAAACAGAGATGCCTTCACTTAGATATAGATTGTGGAATTCTTTGAGACCTTCAGGATGAGAGGCGCCATGTAAACACAAAGCAGTGCGTCTACTCACCTGCTCCTTTCGCAGATGGATCCAATACGACAGACATAATTGTTTTGGTCATCCGCATCCCTTCAGGCTAGAAAGGAATGACAAGAGCATAGTAAGCACAGTAGCATTCAGAGACAATGAAGAGCAGTAGGAAAAGGTGAGTGACTTGCTGATCTTGTGATCAACGTGAATCAGGAGTGACTCCACTGGAAGTCAGCGCTCAAGTGAAACTGAGATCAGGCTCCATCCCAATAAGTCTGGAATCTGTCCTCAACCTCAGGCAGCGTCCCCTTTCATTTTGGATCCTGGTTAGGATGCATCCAAGGAGAAGTCCCTAGGCCTAATTCATCCCTAGCATAACACCACTGATTACACCACAGATGAACAGGAGGGATTTTTGCCAGAAGCTGGGAATGGGCGACGGGATGGATCACTTGATGATTCCCTGTTCTGTTCATTCCCTCTGGGGCACCTGGCATTGGCCACTGTTGGAAGACAGGTATGATAAAAGAAGGGGGGGGGGTAGCTCCCTTTGATGGGCACCCAGCCAGCCAGTTAACTCTGTTCTCTACTTGCTTTACCTGTAAAGGGTTAAAAAGTCCCCCAGGTAAAGAAAAAAAAGTTGGCACCTGACCAAAAGAACCAATGGGAAGGCTTGAACTTTTAAAAATTGGGAAAGAAACTTTCTCTTTGTTTGTTGTTCTCTGGGCTGCCAGGACACGTAGCAACAAGGCTATAAGCAGGAATGCTGTGGAAGGTTTGAACCAGATATGAAAAAGTATCTTCCATACCTAGAAGAAATCATTTGGATTTAGTTAGACCCGATCAGGTTTATTTCTTATTTTGGCTTGTGGATCTCCTCTGTGCTAACCCCTGATGCTTCTGTTTGCTTGTAGCCTTTAAGCTGAACCCCCAAGAAAACTAGTTTGGGTGCTTAATTTTTGGAATTGCTCTTTTAAAATTAAAATTTACTTTTTTGAAGAACAGGATTGGATTTTTGGTGTTTGTGCATGTTGTTTGATTAGCTGGTAGCAACAGCTAATTTCTTTTGTTTTCTTTCTTTTTCAACTCTTCCCCAGAGTTGGGGGGGGGTGAAAGGGCTTGAGGGTACCTCACAGGGAAGAATTCTCAAGTGCTCCTTCCTGTGTCCAAGGGTTGTTGTTGGGTTTTTTTGTTTTTTGTTTTTTAATTTGGGTGGTGGCAGCATTTACCAAGCCAAGGTCAGAGAAGTGGAGTGGCAAGTTTTAATTTTTAGAATCCTTGCGGGCCCCCACCTTCTGCACTCGAAGTGCCAGCGTGGGGATTCAGCCCTGACATGGTGGCAGAGCGGTGGGATCATTCTGAACCAGAAGCACAGACCTCGGGATTTTAAAAGGACACATTTTTCCTTTTGGCTGCTTAAAAGCCAGGGAGGTTTTTTTTCTTTCTTTTCTTTGCTTCCTTAGGGGGAACAGGCACACCAAAGGATTAGCCTGCAAAGCCAGGGAGTCCAAGAAGCAGTTTATTTTTTTTCTAGCTTTGTGGCAATGAAATAGCTAGGCTAGAGTAGGGCAGCCTGTGCACGAGGTTACGGTCAGGCACCGAAACCCTAGATAAACCAGTCTTCCCAAAGCAGCATGCCATGGAGAAGACAGACCCAGATCAAGCCCAGACATCCAGCTCCATGACAGAAATACAGGGAAAGGATGGGGGACCGGGAACTTCCCAGGAGGGAAGGGTCAGCCCTCCCTAACCCAAGATCCAATTGCCAAGATGGAGGGTTGCCTTTAACTCAGGCCGAGTTCTAACTGAGGCAGAAAGGAATTTCTTCGAGATGAAGTGCTTGGAAGTGGAGGAGAAGCACTTGGAGGCAAAGATCTTGGAAGCGAAGGCGAAGCGCTGGCAGGTAGGAGAGGAGAGAGGAGAAGCGCTTAGAAATGAAGCGCTTGGAGGCGGAAATGGAGCTAAAGCGCTTAGAGGTGGAAAAGGCTAACCTGGATCAACCAAGTACCGCTCCCCATTCTAAGAAATTCCCCACATACAAGGTAGGCGATGATACAGAGGCCTTCTTAGAAAATGTTGAAAGGGCCTGCCTTGGGTACAACACCCCTATAGACCAGTATATGGTGGAGCTAAGGCCACAGCTCAGTGGACCCTTAGCAGAGATGGCAGCTGAAATGCCTAAAGCACACATGAACAAGTACGAACTTTTTAAACAAAAGGCCAGAATTAGAATGGAGCTAATACACAAGCATGCCCATTGGCGGTTCAGAACCCTAAGGTGGAAACCAGACGTGGCATTTTCCCAACATGTCTACCACATTGTAAAAATCTGGGATGCCTGGATAAATCTGTGTTAAATCTCTGGAAGATCTGTCTCTCCTAATGCAAATGGAGCAGTTCTTAGAGGGTGTTCCTGAGGAAATAGAAAGGTACATCCTAGATGGGAAGCCCAAAACTGTAACCGAGGCGGGGGAGATCGGAACCAAATGGGTGGAGGTGGCGTAGAAGAAAGCTAGTAGCAATTGGAGCAAATGCGGGCAGGGGACTGGACTCGATGACCTCTCGAGGTCCCTTCCAGTCCTAGAATCTATGAATCTATGAATCTATGAAAATACCAGAAGGGGCAACCCGAGACAACACCCCACCATCAAGGTCAGCCCAAAGCCCCACCTCTCAAGGAGGAACCCTCCACACAGCCAGGGAGACCCCAGATGCTCTCGTCCCACCACCCCACTCTCCAATCACCCACCTCGCCCCAGCCCACAGTCAGCTGGGCAATGCTTCAAATGTAATGAGCTGGGGCATGTGAAGGCCAACTGCCCCAACAGCACCAACCGACTGCAACTCATCACCCCGGAGACACACCGAGAGCCCTCAGGCCCAGATGCCTCGTAAATACCCCCCGAGTTACCTTTTCCATAACTGGTGTTCTTCGAGATGTGTTGCTCATGTGTATTCCACAATAGGTGTGCGTGCTTGCCATGTGTACTGGTGACTGAAGTTTTTCCCCTAGCAGTACCCGTGGGGGGGAGCGCCCCCCGCTACCCCTGGAGTGGCGCCTCCACGGTGCGGTATAAGGGGCGCTGCACACTCCCCCCACCCTGAGTTCCTTCTTGGCAGACAACTCCGACAGAGGGGAAGGAGGGCGGGATGCGGAATAGACATGAGCAACACATCTCGAAGAACACCAGTTACGGAAAAGGTAACTGTCTTTTCTTCTTCGAGTGATTGCTTATGTGTATTCCACAATAGGTGATTCCAAGCTATATCTGTTGGAGATGGGTAGGAGTTCACAAACTCTCAGGACGGAGCACAGCCCTGCCGAACCCGGTGTCTTCCCTGGTCTGGGAGACGATTGCATAATGAGAGGTGAACGTGTGAACTGAAGACCATGTGGCAGCCCTACAAATGTCCTGAATGGGGACATGGACTAAAAAGGCAGCCGACGAGGCCTGCACCCTAATTGAATGTGCCCTCACAATCAACGGTGGGGGGATAACAGGTATGGATCGTAACAGGTACGGATGCACGAGGTGATCCAGTCAGAGAGCCGCTGAGTGGAGATCGGCCGACCCCTCATGCTTCCGGCCTAGGCGATGAACAGCTGCGAAGACTTCCTGAACGGCTTAGTCCACTCCGGGTAAAAGGCCAGAGCCCATCTAACATCCAGCGTGTGGAGGCAGCGCTCCTCACTGGAGGCATGGGGCTTGGGGCAGAGGACCGGCAGGAAAATGTCCTGACCCATGTGGTAGGCGGAGACCATCTTCGGGAGGAACGAAGGATGAGGGCGGAGCTGGACCTTATCCTTATGGAACACCTTAAGGAATCAGCCAGTCATAGCATGCAAGAAGACCGTGTGCCCCTGCACCAGCGGGTGGAAGGCCGCCTACAAGTGTCACACAACTTAAAACCCGGGGCATGGGGCATGCCCTGGCCCAGGCGCACTAAACTAAACTAAACTACACTAAACTAAGCTAACTTCAACTACAGGTACTACTACACTGAACGAACAAGAGTTCTGGAGGGACACTGCAGACAAGCTGGAGCAGAGCAGTTCTGAAGCACCTTCACTGGTGGCAAGAAGGAACTGAGGGTGGGAGGAGCGCGTAGCGCCCCTTATACCGCGCCATGGAGGTGCCACTCCAGGGGTCGCTACGGGAATACACATGAGCAATCACTCAATGAAGAACTGTGAATGTGGGCAGGAGAAGATTATTGCATGGAGAGACACTGGCGCACAGGTGTCAGCTATCCACCAATCCCTGGTGGACCCCAAATTCATTGACCCAGAGGCCCAAGTGACGGTGCAACCTTTTAAGGCCAACTCTTTTAACTTGCTGTCAGGATACCCCCCCACTCTGAACTCTGGGGTACAGATGTGGGGACCCGCATGAAAGACCCCCTAGGCTTATATTCTACCAGTTTAAATTAAAACTTCTCCAAGGCACAAATTCCTTTTCTTGTCCTTGGACGGTATAGTGCTGCCACCACCAAGTGATTTACACAAAAATTCAGGGAAGGGTCACTTGGAATCCCTATCCCCCCAAAATATCCCTCCAAGCCCCTTCACCCCCTTTCCTGGGGAGGCTTGAGAATAAAATACCAACCAGTTGCCTTAGCAACGTGAGCTCAACCAGACCCTTTGTCTTTAGGACACTGAAATCAATCAGGTTCTTAAAAGAAGAACTTTTCTTATAAAGAAAAAAGTAAAAGAACCACAGGCCCTCTTCTAGCAGTTGAGGTGTGAACACCGAGGGCCTCATCCTCCCTGATTAAACTAACCTTGTTATCTCTAGACTGATTCTTGCCTGCATATTTATACCCGCCTCTGGAAATTTCCACTACATGCATCCGATGAAGTGGGTATTCACCCACGAAAGCTTATGCTCCAATACGTCTGTTAGTCTATAAGGTGCCACAGGACTCTTTGTCGCTTTTTACAAAAACAGGAATGAAACTACCTCTGTAGCATAGGAAAATTCACCAAAATTCAGCCAAAACAAGAGATAACTTCACGATTTCCTTGCCCTACTCACAGTTTCTGTGCTTTTATATGGATTATTCCAGGTATATTTTTCAGGAGATATTGTACCTGCTTGGTTTTTC